TATTATATCCAAATTCCAAATGTGTCAATTTAACAAATGAGTAGGGTTTATTGTCAAGTATCAATTTACATATCAAAAGTACAACTGTCAATCATTTGGTTTGAGACCAGATACCCTCATCCGGACCAGACCTGACCAATTGATAGAACTAGTTAGAGACTCCATCTCAAAGGGCCAGTACCCAATGTTTGTCTCGGCTATCTGGGTCTTGGGAGGGGTGGACTGGATATGAACCTATAACCTTTGGTATTTCTCCACAAAGTGGCCACTTTAACACTTGAATCCCATTTTCTCATGCTTGTCAGCCTGAGATTTACCATTGCATCAAGAAATAACCCTTTAATCAGTGTTTGTATCAAGACACGCCAAATCAAGGAGTTATAGGAGAAATCTGAAATGTGACCAACCAATTTAATAGCTTCAATAAAGTCTGGATGTCACCAGAGGAAAATAGAACTAGTAATGGAGAAGGATAAAAGCAATTATGAATCTCTACTTTGAACTCACCTGCTATTTAACATGTTGGAGCTTCAGAACAACTAAAACTAGAACCACTTATAAAACAAAATATGCGAAATAGGTTGTCCACTAGGAGCAAATTTTAAAACGCAAAAAAAAAAAAGGAACCAGTGTTGCAGATCCACCTGATAAATAGGTAATTCATTCAAACTCAAGTGGCCAGAAGGCCAACCTACACATTTTCTTTCCAAAAGCAGAATAAAAAAATGGCTATTTAATTGAAGTCAATATAAAGTGGTTTGAAGTGATTTGATCAGATAAAGAGACCAATTTCACCTGATTCATCTAGCCAGTTACTACAATTGGGTTTTCTTGAGCAAGGTGAGGTAAGTGTTGTCAGGTTGGCCTGTCAGCTCAGGTTCCAACAGTATGCCACAATGATTAAATCTTACATACATAACTCAACTGTCCCAGCTTTTAGAGTTGAAGACAGTGTAGTCAAGGCAATTAGGAAGTGCCTAGTCATTTTGATTTTCCTAGGAAAGGTGTAAACCGGTCAATTCTTAGCAGTTACTAGTTGACTTGTTAGATCAGCTTGGCTGGTGCTTTCCCCTTGGATCACAGCAACACCTCCTCTGCTACCCATCACCATTTCAAAGAAAAGTAAATGTTATAATGTTCTCTTAGAAGTCAATTTTTTCTCTTTCCTTCACCTGAAGGAAAGACAAATAGAAAGAGCCTACCTGAAGTCAGTGGACTAAGCAGTTGCTTGACCTTAGCCATCTCCTAACAAGGCCAGTGACTAAGTTATAACTAGACATTTAGTGTACAACACACACACACATTTACACACATAAGGTCAATAGTTATGGATACTTAATAATTAAGTTGGTAAAGAAAAATGCACCAACCCCAAAAGTAACCAAGCCTGGACCTCTAGCATTCGGTCGTAATCCTTCAACGCTATCATTTTCTGTTGGGTCTGACCTGTAAACAGGAAATCACGATTAGTAGCGTAATAGATAGGATATACATAAGACATGAAAGCTATCAAAAAGAGTAAGGGGGAGCACCAACCATAGCAGATCCATAAGAACAACTGAGCCTGCTTCCATTGTGATTGGGCGCTGAAGGTTTTCAATTTGTTCTATATGATTTATAGACCGGCCAATGCCACCATGCATACAAATAATTTTCTTTTCAATGAGGGCTGCTAGAGGAAGCCAATTAAATAACCGATTTATGCGATGCCAAGCCCAGATGCCATCCCGCTCACCCTGTTAGCATATGGATGAAATTAATGGATGCAACAAATTAATACACAAACTAAGGCAAGCATGTGCATGTGCACATAAACAGCATCAGAGGGAGAGAGAACAAAAATCTATACCATTCGTTCAATGCACTCAATACGAAAGCCAAATAGAGCATTTATATCAGCAGCCTCATGATTCCCACGGATTAGATGTACCTGATGGGGATGCTCAACCTGTAATAAACGATCACCTAAATTCAGCATAGAAAAAAAATTGAACGTCTAAAAAATTTACAGTGCAGAATAGACGGCAGAACATGATACCTTCAATGCAAGCAGAAGAGTTATAGTTTCCAAGCTGTGTTGGCCCCGGTCAACATAATCTCCCAAAAAGAGATAGTCAATATAACTGTAATCATGAGCATAACATTAGCATGGACAAGATAAGTATGTTATTGCAAAAATAATATCATCTTCTATATTTACACAGAGATGCTTATGAGAAGAGACATCAAACATCTGTAATTTTTCTAGCACACACACAGATCAGGGACCTTGACAGATGGGTTCCATCATAACATGTGGCTAAATGAGCAATGATACAGATAATTGTAATGCTAAGCCACCTCTAGATGAGCAAAGAACAAAACAAGCTTCAACATCATCCAGCAAGTAGCTTAGCTATGTACTTGGTTCTATGATCAAGAAACTATGAGTACAAGCAGGTAATTTAGGTAAACCAATGAACCATGGATTGTAAATGGATTCTAAAGATGCACAATCTATTCTCTCCAATAGTCGAGTTGTGAACCATGGAAATCCATATCTGAATTAATAACCCAGGATGGCAAAACTCTCACCTAAGGATGCACAGCTGAAGAAATCAATAGTTACCAATGATGCTCCTTCTGTTCAGAAAGATTTTTCTTACAGTCATAACCATTCAAAATGGTGTCACATTCAAGTTGTGGATCCAAGTGGTCACCTAGAAATAAGTTGTAATATTATGTAAGGTTTTTAAAATGTTGGTTTTGGTGGAAATATCGGTCATCCAAATATAGGAAACATGTCAGAAAGGTCAAAAATGTCGAATGGAAACATTGTAAAAATTATAGACATGGTGGAACCCAAGACATAACTCAATGTGACCTTTTTCAGTACCTTGGTTTGATAATTCATAACAAGGGAGAGATTGAGAAGGATGTCACCCATAGAGTTAGAGCAGGATGGGAAAAAAGGAGGGATGCATCTGGAGTTTTATGTGATAGGCAGATATCACTTACATTAGATGGAAGTGTACTATAATGTTAAGGCTAACTTCTATTTTACATTTGGATGAAATGCATCCATTGCCATACGATGGTCCATCAAAGGCATGTAGAGATAAAGTGACAGAGAAGATAATGTAATAAAGCCACTATAATTAAACAATGCCAGAATGCTTTGACCAGGACTGATCCTATTTTCAGTTTTTGGAAGCACAGTCATGATCACAATGGCAAAAACATCTTCCAATAGTTCACCAGTACAACCCTTAAAAATAACACCATAAAGATATCACCATATACAAGAGAAGAGAAATAACCATTTAAAACAGAAAGACATGTAAAGATAACTGAATTTATAAAATTACTTACGCTATATCTCCTGCAGTTGAAGGAGCACCATATTCATCAAAAAGGCGCATTAGATCCCCAAATTGCCCATGCAAATCACCAAAAATCTTGACAGGAGCCTTAATTTGCAGCACACTAGGTTCATTAGAAAAAATTCGTTCTGCACTATCACAAAGATCTGCTATCTCATTGCAATCTAAGAAAAATTGCCTACGGACAGGAGGCTTCCAACCACGAGGCTTCAATAGATGTTCTATCACCTGAAAATTGAGAAGGTGATTAGTCACCAATGTTAACAAAAAGATTACACACAGGAGAAACTCTCCATCTAAAAAAATAAGCAGTATAGTTTAACTTCATAAAAATACAAACAGGACATATAAGGGTATAACCAACAAACCCACCCTAAGCACACAGCTGAGATGATGCAAACTTATAACTTAACAAGAACCAACTTGGAAAAAATGAAAAAATTTCATGCAGCATGCACGAAACTGATGCAGAGACTTAAAGTGTTGCCTAGGTTTCTTGGAGTATCACCACCTACAAAATCAATGTGGTGAGAAGCACAAATATAAACACTTTGGTGGTGGGGGGGGAGGAATAATTTCTTATTTAATGTATTGATATGAGTGTGTAACCCATTTTGGGTGCTAGAAACATTGAAGCCACTTGGCCCTCACTACATGTGAATGCAATAAAATTGAACTTTGATGGTTGCAGCTAGGGCAACCCAGGAAATTCAGCTGTTGGGGGAGTGTTCAGAAATTATGATATGGGAATCATGGCAATCTACTCTGGACCCATAGGCCAAGGAAATGCAATTAGAGATGAGATACTTGTCATACTTTGGGGATTGAGACTTGGAAGATCTCTTAACTACATTGATCTGATAGTGGAAGAAAACTCCAGGGAAATACTTGGGTGGCTCAAGAACAAAAGTCTAGGTCCATAGCAGTACAGACAAACCTTGAGAGAAATAATATAATTAGCCAGGGAACTGACAACCACATTCATATGGACAAAAAGATGAGCAAATTGATTGGCAGATGCAATAACCAAAAAAGGTGTAACATGAATCATTTGCATTGAATGATTATGCCTAGGGAAAGACAATGGCATGTAATCAAAAGAAAGGGATGCTAATGGTTAAGGTGGCTGGGCCAGCCTAATTATTAGTGTGCTTGGAACACCTTATCTGTATATTTTACTCATTTTTTTTATTACAAATCAAAAAGATGTAATAAGTTATTTAAAATTTTCTCATTCTTTTTTTCTCAAAATGAGATATAAGCAACCATTTAGGGTTTTGCTCATTTAACTTGTAGTTCAATAGTTCATAATTAAAATGTATCTAGATAATACTAATTACGATTATATATATATATACCTAACCATCCACTTCCTTGCCATACAAGAAAACTAGGCATTGCCTGGTAACTTTAAATACACTGAATGAAATTTTAATTTTCATGCAAGTATTAAGTGCATCCAATGTAATTGAAAATAATTAACAAAAAAAACTCAAAAAGAGTGAGCAGAGAATATAAACTTTCATTTTCTTGTCCAGAAAACATTCTCATGATGAGACCCTATAAAGCATTTATTGAATTTGAAAGTAGTTGAATCAGAAAAACTAACATATATCTGATACCAGCATCTTTAGATGCTGAGAAGTGGAGCAAGGTATTTTACTTGCTTTAAGGCATAAGGAATAAAACCTTAAGGCATGGAGTGTAGAGCCCACAAGCACACATATTTTTTACAAAATAAATAAATGGTAACATTATCTTGTCATATCATTTCACCAAACAATTAAAATACTTCCTTTGGACTCTATGATTTAACCTAACTTAGCATCTCCATCCCACCCTAGAATGGTAGCAACTTGGGTGGGCCCAACCCGAGCTTTTGCACATGTTGGGCTTGAGTTTTCGGGCTGTGGGATGGACCTGGACAGAAAACTCTGGCCTGACATAAACTTGGGTTAAGGCCTTGGGTAGCCCAAGCCCGGCCCAACCTTACTCAAGCCTGCCTAACATTGTACGATATAAGTCTATAACCAATGGTTTAAAAGTGCAAGGAGCTTTCTGCGCCTTAGGCATAAGGCAAGGCATGCGCCTTTCTGAACAAAGACAAAATCTAAAAAAAAAAAAAATGCAAGAAAAATAAAATAAAAAACTTTTAAAAATAGTATTTAAAAAATACATATATTTTAAACTAAATGTTTTAAAAAGCCTATTAACTCAAATTTAAAATATAAACGTAACATATAACACATTCAAAGTGAAAATATAAAAAAAAAAATTAAATATAACATATAAAACATATTCATGCACTCAACAATTCAAGCAAATGGAACTTTTGATCTCTTTCTCTCTTTCCCAATCACATTACCCTAATTCTAGGGGCCACTTTATACTGAACCCCTTGAGGCAAGGTCAAACAAATCCATGCTAGTGTCCTAAATCCTCAATTCATGCACAAAAGTTTGATTTGTAAGTTTAATTATAATTCCTCATCTTTTAAATCACTGGATATAACGCCTATGTATATATATATATAATGCATGTATGTATGTATGTATGTATGTATGTATGTGCCTTACATTTCATGCTATCATGTAAACCCTACAGTTTATTTAGTTACTTACAATATGTATATGATTGGCCAAAAGAAACACCCATGCACAAACATGTACATATACACATTATGCAATTTATATAATGTATATGTATAAAATATGTATATATGCTATTAATGGAATTTGTGCATATTTTCATTCCATTCTACACTTAAGGTGGATATGCAAATTCAAAAATTATTTCAAACCTCACCAACTCATCCAGGCATGACCAAGCCCAAGCCCAGCCCAAGTTGTATTGGGTTAAGCTTGGGTTGGATCCAGATTGGTAGACTCAGGCTTGACCTCAGGTTAGCCAGCCCCAAGCCTGAGGTGTAAAATCTTGGGGTTGGGCCTGCACTGACCCCTAACCCACCCAAGTTGCATCGCATCTCTACTTTCCAGTGTGGAAGCATATCAATATGTACACTTCACTCAGAAGTATTTGCTTCATACACCCCCCTTCAACCAATGAAACATACGCCATCCACAATTTGATCACCTCATTGGTGCACCTTGGAGAACTTTGAGGATACCCCATCTAGAGGAGCACATCGAAGGCTCAAAGCATGCATCACGGATGCATCTAATCTAAGATCATTGTTCCAGACAGCCAGATAAAACACTCAATTATATTTACAACATTAACTTACCTTCTTAGGCACACTATTGATAGACATCTGCCTATCTAATAATTTTCTAGCTGCAGTTGCATTCTCGGGAGTGCCATAACTAACTCGCCTGCCTTCATTCTCAAACTGATCAATTGAAAGTTGCCTGACCATACCACCTAAAGCACCTCCAGTCTCAGCAGCTACAACCACCTGCAATTAAAGGAAATAGTCAAAATGAAAGACAGCCAAAAAGAGAGCATTTTCATGCCAGAGACTATAGAGCAGAACAATGAATAGTCAAGACAAATGGAGTTGTAATACGGACAGCTCTATGATGTAGTCGAACTCCAGGAACAGGTATATTATTTGATAAAGCAGCATCAGGCATTTTAATCAGTGTAGATATCTGTTTTCCACTCGGTGTCTCTTCTGCCTCCTGATCCGTGTCTGGCATTTGCTCAACTTCTCCATTAACTTGACGTGCTTTGGCAGCAGCTAATGCAGCACTAATAGCTTCAGCTTCTGCTGCTGAGGCCTCAACCAAGTACTCAACACCTTTGCTCAGTCTCCTGAAGAATTATCTACATTAAGATCCTAAGGCCAAATGGTAAAATTTCACAGTTTGCATCAAGTGCTATCTATTTATACTTTTGTGTATATAGTGCCTTACCTTGGTCCCTGAAGCATAGCATTTTCCGTGCTTATATCTGTATACATATCCCCATTTACAGGAGGAGCAACAGGAGTACCCAATACAACTGCACCATCAGGAACTGTTTCAGGAATGGCTTGTCTTGTTCTATCATCAACAAATGAATACCTTCCAGTTACTCTCCCTGCTTGTACATTGGCCGCAGCAGCTGCTGCTGCAGCATGTGAAGCTGCACTTGTTGTCTCAGCAGCAGCCAGATCTTCAGCAACAAGCAGATCGTCTAGCAATACCCCTATAGTAGAATCCAAGTTTCAGTAAATATGCAACAACGCCATCAATTTGTCAGTATTGTCACTCATTAATTAGTCTTAATTCAACCCCCACATAAAGACATGTACACACATGCAAGCAATGCCCAAGTCCATATTCCGATATAAAGAAAGCCATCAAAGACTTCAGAAGCTGGTTACAAGCTTTCAAAGATTCTTCTAGAAAGATATTTTCATCCTATGACTATCAGGTTGCAACATGAAGACTATTTTGCTTGCCAAGAAATAAAAAGCATTGTTTGTGAAGAGATGAAATAGCATTTTATATCCCTTGACCAAATAAAGGGAGTATATGAGAGAAACAAAATGCTGTTTTAGATAATAGTGTTTCACCATTTTCCTTTTTATTGATAACTCTAAATTGTATTTTTTTTACTAGTAATAAGAACATTAGTTAAAGATAGAAGACAAGAAAATACTACATATCACAAAAAATACAAATAACCCACGCACCCTTCATGGGTGACCTACATCAGTTGGTCATCAATAGAGCACTCCAGGATACAAAAGAAAACAAAAATATAGACAAGTATCTCAATCTGTGCAAACAAGGTGCCAACAAAAAACACTCAATTCCATAAAATATATAAATTCCATAAAAGAATTTATAAGTATAGATGATGTGAAAACCAGTTTTCACATTGTAAGATGATCAACCCCAAGGCAAATTTGTTACAACAAAAAAAAGGCCTAATTGGTGCCTTTCTACTCACAAATGCTTTTTATGTGATGCAATTGGGGAAGTTGCTTTCCATCTACTAATCTCCTAAGCTCTTAGTATTTGTGACTAGTTCATAGCTCTCTGTGGTTGTAGGTGGCCCCCACATGGTGATGTGAGCAGCATATTTTCAGTTTCATTTTTTAACCCAACCAAAAGGGAGAGATTTGTACAGATTTACGAGGGTGTCCATCCTTTAGACCATTTGGAAGAAAGAAATGCAAGAATCTTTAAAGAGAAGAAGATAAGGAAGCAATTATAGAGTGGTGAATTGGGTAAAAACCTTGGAGATTGTTGCACCCTTCTCAAAGGATGATATCCTTGGAGGATGGCAGGTGGTGGCTGATTCTTCTACTACAAGGACTATCATAGCAAGAGAGTGGATCCCCTCCCCTAGGGCTTTGGATCAGATTTTGGGTAATCCAGGCATCTTGGGCACTGATGGCATCATTATAGATAGCCATGAAAATGTACTATACTATTCTATGTACCTGTTAGTGTGGGGGACTCTATGATAGACGAGCTGCAAATAATCTTGTATGGATTGAGGATGGTAACAAGGCTGAATATGAGGCATATAGTCATTGAAGGAAATTCACAGATGGTAATTGGCTGGCTGCAAGATAAAACTCAAAAAACATGGCAGTACAGACATAAAATGAGAGAAATCAAGCAAAAAATGAGGGGATTATCTCAATTTTGTGGTTATATAGATCAGCAAACTGATTCGCTAATTCACTTGCTAAACAAGGGGCAAATAGGAAATAGGCATATTCAAGGGTAACTAATGAAAGCGGCAAATGGACTGAGGCACTAGGCACACCATGTGCACAACTGAAAGGGGCTGCACTTGGATTCAGGTGCCATGTGTCTCACTTGTCCACCTAAGCACCTGAGGTACACCTTTTAAAACACTGCTTACAACCACAACCAGAATCAAGATTAATAGACTAATGACAATTGAAGCCAGAAATCAATCCAGTCTAAAGGGAAGCCCAGTGCACGAGGCTCCCACCAATGTGGGGTCTGGGGAGGGACAGATGTTAGCATCCTTACCTCTGCAGATACACAGAGGTTGTTTCCAAGAATTGAACCCTGGTCACCCAGGTTGCAATGGAGTAATCCACTGTCTCATTTTGGATATTTCCACAAAGTACAAACAATCAAACCAATATCATACTATTTTCAAGTCTTACCACCACGTAGACCTCCGTAAATAAAAATCAAGTCACCAACAGCAGCAGCTGCATGCCTACAACGCCTCGTCAATTCAACTGCAGCATCTCCACCAGCTGCATCAGCACTATATCTACCTGTCCTAGGACTTGTAACAACAGATTTTGTGTCACACCAGACTCCTGCTGCAGTATCCAACACTACACAATGAAAGCCAGTATCTGTAAGTTGATTGTTTAAAGTATGATCAAATGTAAAAGGCTAAAATAAAAGAAAGGTTGTAACATTCTGTGTAGATTTTTTTCCTGATTAACAAACTGTGTAGAGATTATTCATCAAAAAAAAAAAAAAAACTGTGTAGAGATTAATCAATTATAAAAAGTTAAGTAGCATAGAAGATGTGATAAAATTCATTATATTTTGTATGCAATGTAACAGAGATGTTTTGATCCATTAACTATTTGACAACATAATACATTCAACAACATGGCTACCCAAGCAAGGAATACAAGGAACAGAATGCAGTCTCGAGGAATGGAGAGTAAGGTCACATAGAGTTGGTCCTCACACCGTACTCACAACACTTGCAACCGTGCATTGGGAACATCTCTGTACTTGTACATTTCCATTCATGGGGAGATGTTCCCAATGCCTGGCTGGGAGGGTTGTGAAGACTAAATCCGGATTCATGAATGGACATAATCTTACGAGACTCCCAAATTGCTGCTGCTGGTAAGAAAGTATGCCATAGGGCCATATGATGTTATAATGTTATCAAATTAGAGAGGTCTATCTTCCAGAGTGAACCCTCAAGCAAAAGGGCTCTGAGATCCCCTAGTTCAGTTTTTTGACAGATTATCCAGAAGGGGAGTGACAAGAGTGGAAGCTTTGTTTTCTCGTCCTAACATGCTGATATAAATGTACTTTCCCAATTCCCCGTACATGTACAGAAGAGACCCTCGTTGTGGTAGGGCTACCTTTTCCTGGTACTCTAGGGCTGCCCACCACCCTTCATTCCCCTCAGAACAAAAAGGAGGAAAAAGTAAAAGAAAAGAAAAAAAATATGCCAGTCAATCTCAGAGGAAAGTGCATGCATGACCAAATATCCATTGATAAAAAAAAAATGAACATTTAAACCCCTGCTCTTCAAATCCCAACTCCTAATAAAAAACAACCAGTCAACAATGTGGCTTATATTCCTGGCTGGGCTTTTCAAGACTAGACCACAGTTTCCTAAAGAAATATAATCTTCCACCATGACAGCTTACATCAATCTTCCCAAAAAGAGATAATCATGCTTCCCAGAATCTAAATCCCATTTTAAAAAGAGAAAACAAATCCAGGCCCGTCGGGTATAGGGAGGGAGAGTCTTCAGGGATGGAGAAGGTCGAATTATTGCATTGTATTCTGGTTCTATTGGATGGGGGGACTCTCTTAGAGCTAAAATATTGGCTGTTATGGAAGGGTTAAAAAGAGCCCAAGAGTTAAATATCAGAAAACTGATGGTGGAAGGTGATTCTAAGTTGGCTATCAATTGGCTGATGAAGGACGATTTTAGTTTGTGGAAATTTCTAAATGAGAAAAAGAAAGTTAGACAGCTCACTCAAAACATGGAAGTCAAGTTTCAATGGACTAAGAGGAGTGCCAATCCCTTGGCAGATTCATTGGCCAAACAAGGGGTGGGAAGAGTCAATTTTTTCTGGGCATTATTGTAAACTGAACTGTACTTATTGGGAGGGCTAAGAGTTTTTAACCCTCCTCTTGTATCTTTCTCTATTAATACCTACTATTAAAATTTTTTGTTATTTATCAAAAAAAAGAGAAAACAAATCATCACTGAAATGGGCTATTACTTGGTGCCTGCAGGCTGACAAGAGTTGGAACATAGGTTCAAGTCTGAGAGCGGTCATTTTGTGCAAAAACTGCCTAAAGTTAGGTTTACATGCTGTCCACCCCTCCTAATTCCTAAGTTAGACAATCTTCATGAGCTAGGACTGCTCATACAAAGTACTCATTGCACATTGCTTCACAACCCTGTTTACCATGGCAATGGACCTCTCACATAAAGTTTACAAAACTCATCCACCACAGCTTGGTCCCACTCCCATGCCTTATCAAGTCAGGACTGGAGACTAAGACTTCAAAATTTTTCTATCCATGAAGTCATTTCCATCAGTGCTGTAGTGGATAAAATCTTTGGAGCTGTTTGAAGGTATATCTATAGATCATTGCTTGGGAATTGGAAGGAAGAGGCTGATTTCAACTCCATTTAAGGCAGAAACCAGGCCTCTTTGGTACCCAATAGTGGAAGGTCTCATTAAGCTGAATTTTGATGGAAGTAGCAAGGGTAATCTGAGTCCTTCAGGGACTGGAGGTGTATTCAGAAATGAAGAAGGAAAAGTTGTTGCGTTATTCTCAGGGCCAATAGGTACAGGTGATTCACTCATAGCAGAGATTATGGCTGTTTTGGAAGGAGTGCAAAGGGAAAAGGAGCTAAATATTAGAAAGCTAGTAGTCGATGCCTTGAGGGTGACTCCAAGCTGGTGATTAATTGACTGCAACAAGAGAAAAATGGTTTCTGGAGTTATATTAATGAAAAAAGAAGATTTAGATGGCTGACACAGAATATGGAAGTGAGGCTTCAATGGGTAAAGTGAAGTGTCAACCCCAAAACAAGAACCTAAAAAGTAGACACAAATAACACCCACTACCACCATGACCAGAGCATCATTTAAGACACCATCATGCCCAAGAAAACAAAGAAACCTTTAGCTGACAAAATTCCAGAGACCCCCTAACAATCATACCCTAATCCTCCCCTTCAAACACTTCCTCCTACCCTAAATCATCCTCATTCCAGCTTTCTCCACCTTCTCCTGCTAAGATATTCCTTGCCCTCTCTTTCCTCATTCTTTTTTCAAATTCCTCAAAGGCTTTTCTAGCAAACTCCTCTCCTCCCCAGAAAAAACGCACCGTGCCCCTTACCCACCTCAACATCTCCAGTCTCTTATGTATCAATATAATTCATTTAAATTACATCACAAATTTGCAYCCATTCATCCATCTTACCTCAATCACATGCATTCTCAATTTAGATTCAGAGACTTCAAAATTTTCCATTCATTTCATATGATTGTCTAATCAGTTCATATGCTAAGAATGAGAAAGGATTAATCAACAATATCAATTAGAACCTAAACTTTTTCAAACTGCATTCCCAAGTTCGTTGTGGAGGGAGGATACTTTCAAGGAAAATTTTCCAAGTCTGTATTCTTTATTATCCCACAAGAAAACAAACCTGTCTCCCATCTGATTTCATGGTCTCAGACTAGGGTGCCATAGGATTTTGGTTTTAGAAGGGGTGTGAGGGAATTTGAATTTCCTCAAGTATGTGAGTTTCTCCAGTCTGAAAGCGGCCACTTTGTGCCAAAAATGCCAAAAGGTTAGGACCGTATTCAATCTATCCCTCCCAAGATCCCAGATAGTTGGGACCAACATTGGGTACCTTTCTTTATCTGAGCTTCTCAAAATACTGGAAGCTGTGTACACTGTACACTGTTCCCAACCTTGAAAACTGTTAAATTTGGAGTCAAAACCCCTCTGGTACATTCACTTGGGATTCCTAGTTCAAGCTACTTGTGTCCTCTCCAGGTTCTTCATAGACTTTTCCATTTGGAGTAACCCAATCCCACCTAAAATAAAGGCTTTCTTCTGGGAGGTGTTTCATGGGAGAACCAATTCCTCTGAGTAGATTCAGAAAAGGAAAAAAAAAAAGAAAAAAAAACAAATTGGGCTCTTTCCCTGCACATATGTGCTCCTTCCTTGGGTAATGGTGAGTCTACCTACCATTTTCTAACCTCCTGCCCTTGCTAGTATTTGGGAATGAGTCTGTTCTCACCATCTTTTTTCCAACCAAGAAAGAGAAGAGAAAGAAGCCTATGGACAGCATGGGACAAAGGAAACGATAGAATATTAGGGAGAGGAAATGAAAGAGAGTTGTGATTATTAACAGCATAACCATCAAGACAGTTAATTGGATCGACTTTAAGAATGTTAGAGAGGGTGGGCCTTGGCTTAAAGGTTGGGTTGCTCCATTGCAACCTGGGTGACCTGGGTTCAAATCTTGGAAAATCCTTGCTGTATGTGTTTGTAAGGCTGCATAGATCTGTCCCTCCCCAGACCCCGCATTGGCGGGAGCCTCATGCACTAGGCCACCCTTTTTTTATGTTCTCTATGAAGGATATCACAAGTTATTGTTTATTGATAGCCAATTCATCTAGTAGCAGACAGCACACCATAATGCATTGGAGGCTTAATCTGTGCAAAACAGACCTCAAAATACCAGAAAATAAAAGAAGTCCCAGTAGCAGATCTGATCAGAGAAGAAGATAAGAGAACAGATAAAGGGAAGAAGAAATAAGAAACTAGGGACGAGAGAAAAGGAGATTGAACATTAGTTGATTCACCAACTTCCGCCTTTTTTTATTAATCATATAATAAGAGATGCAATTACAAAACTACCCCTGATTAAGTAATAAAGAGAAAAAAGGCATTTTTAACCTGCCACTAATATATATAACAGAACAAATAACTTCTAACAGAGACCACCTGAAGAACATCAAATTAAGGTAAGATGGCAGCAGCATGGGCAACCCAAGTCCTTCCAGTTATGGGGGTATTTTGAGACAAACAATGGTGCAGGCAGAGCCATGTATTCAGGTCCAATTGGCTATGGGGATTCAACTACAGCAGAACTAACAGCAGTAGTGCAAGGACTAAGATTAGCAAGATCATTAAGTCTCTCTAACCAGATTGTAGGAGATACAAACTACAATAGTGAGCCTTGAGAAACAGAAAACAAATTCCTTGGCATCATCTAAATATGATGAAATAAATTCAGGAGTTGAGGAGGGATAGAATTTCAGAATGTCTGAGTACGGGAGATCTGCCAATAATATGGTGGATGCTTTGGCAGACAGGCTGTAATCAGAGAACAGATGTTTTTTGAATCATGTAATGATATGGAAGGCTTTGTATGACTAAAAAGATGGGATTAGGTGGCTAGGCCACCTAGTCAGAGGGTTTATTTGTATCTTTACACTCAATTCTTTCATTCTTCAAATAAAATGCATTGTTGTTCATCACAAGGAAAAAAAAAAAAAACAAACTTTTCAGAATTACATGGTTGAGGTAAAATAGAAGGATCATAAGTAGAAGCCAGTTCCTAGAGTAGCGAAAACAGAACCAAGAAAATCCCCATTTGCCCAAAAAATAGAAGCATGACTAAATGAGATTGATTTTAAAAAGTGTTTAACAATTATCAAATATGCTTTAAAGGTCTTGTAATAACAGTAGACTGATCCACATAATCCAACCTACATTAACAAGCCCTCTTCAAAGGCACAAGTATTTCTAAGCAGAAAAGTCCAACCATTAGAAAAAACCCATTGGAACATCTTGTATAGACTATAATTACCAATATGAAGAATTTGGTACTATGACTGGCTAAAAGTGAAGGCAAGAGTTTGTTTTTTCTCTTTATTGGTAAGAATTTTAAACCAACATTAGAAATCGGGAAACTTCTATGAAATTAAACAGATATTGCAGGCTGACTACATTAAACAGGAAAGAAAGGACCAGGAGAGACAATAAGAAAAATGTAACTCCAGAATATTAGTACTTCTCTATCCTAGGATCCTAAAGATTGAAATCTGTGAAGAAAAGAAAATACCTGCTACACTTGATGAGTCTTCTACCATGCGGCCACCACCAAGTGCCCCTCCAGATACATGAAGCCGCGCATTAACAAAAACCTAGAAAAAAGTGGGATGGAGGTGAAAACAGAGATAAATGAAACAAAGAGAAACAGTATAAAAAAGAAAGAGAAATAAAAAAGCAAGAATGCTCTGTTGCAAAAAGGGGAAAGGAAACTGAAACTCACTGCTGCATGTTGATATCTAGGTGATGGTGAGACACCCGGTGCTATGGCCCATTCCCAACGACCATCCCTGTGTTTGGCAAGACCATATGCTTGAGCTAATGGCTACAAGAACAATAAACATAAAGTTAAAAGAGAGGAAAGATAAAGGTTCAATAATTTGTTGTAATCATAAAGAAATATGCTCATAAAACCAGTAAAAGAGGAAAAAATCAGAATGTCACTTCAATTGGCAATTAAGGTTTAAGACATTGTGTAATGTAATAAGATAAATCTATGATAAGCTAATCTAAGGCATTATATTCATAACCCATAAACATTACCTAGTACACTTTCATAATATAAAGAATCGGATGGAAAGAGTGCCAATAAAAGCCCCATGAAAGAATTAAAAAACTACTTCAAATAGTGTTACTAATGTGGTAAAGGCAATTCATTTTGTCCTCCCTAACTGATGCAATGACAAGTAGGTGGCCAGGAACTGACTGCTCAATCAAGGATACGTTTTAAAATATAATATATCGACACAATCTCATATATGTAGACACACAAACACATAAATTAGTTTACAATCTTTGCTTAGCAAAGCAAATATAGATAAGGCTAGATGGGATTGGATAGGGAGCTACAGCTTTTGTATTTCAAACAAAATTTGCAACCTTGATTATTCAATGTTTATGGCAACTTCATGACAAAACACCAATTATTAGAAGAAAACTTATTAAAAAAAACTTTTCTTCTTTTATTATACCATCAACTAATCAGGTACCACCACAAATGCTTAAAGCAACTAGACTGAATGCACAAAAATAAGTATATATAGAACTATTTTAAAAAATTATGAAGTCAATATGAATGTCAGTTAACTAGTTGAAGCTTTGATAACCTAAACTTCATGTTAACAGTTTTCATGAAAAGCAGAAAAGCAGCTACATTGGACTACTACATTATGTCACCATAACAATTTCCTACCAAAAGCTGTCTCTCCAATCTCTCCAACCCTTCTATTTACTCGTACCTTAAATTACAGTAGAGGCTTTTGGCTACTATATCCTATATATGAATTATGCATGTTTAGTCTTTCCAAAATATTAGAAGTCAACTACAAGGCAGCCTAGTCAAAGGCAGTATTAAGACTAGACAAATGTCTTTGACAATGACCATAACCAAACTCTGTCAGAAAAGAAAATTAAATTTCTGAGTCAATTATTCCAAACAAGGATATGTACCTTCACTATTATTGCCAAACAATGTACAATACAATTATAAAGAAAATCCAATTAACCAAAACCAGAATGAAGTTAAAAAACTACATAAAGACAACACGGAAGCCACCTAGGTCCTGCCAAAAAGAAAAAAAAACTTTTCCGAAGTAATGCAGGAGCTAAAGAACCAAACTTGGAATTTTCTGAAATTTTATGTATTTCTGTATTTTTGGATAGGTGTATTTTCATCATTTTGACCATTCTCATGTGGACCTGGGCTATAGTATCTTGTTCCTGTAGTTTAGTAGGGCTTCTCTTTCAATGTTCAGTTTATTTGCATTAGTAGGTAGAAAGTTATTGTGTTTCTTGATGAACAAGATAAGGAGTGGCATTTTTGTAATTATGGTGAACGGTATTCCGGACCACAAGTCACTCTATAATAGATGCATTCTCTTCCTTTATAAGCTAATGAATGAATGAAGATTTCTTGAGAGCTCTTTTGCAAGATTTTTTTTATGGGGTGACTCCTACAAACCTTACAGTGGTTGTAAGACCCTTGCAGTGATTCCTTGGGGTTTCTCTCTCTTTTCTCTTTCTCTACCCTTTTTCCTCTCTCTATGTTTCTCTCTTTCCAACTAGTGTCAGTTTATTCTAGCCCTACTTCACAAAGCATAACCATAACTTGATCCTCTTCTTTTTTATCAACATGATCCTGATTCTTTTTCATCAGCAGCACAATCAAAGAAGAGAATTTTATAAGTAAAAATAATAAGAATGGGAATCTTTCTGGACCTTCAAAGACCTAATGAAGATGGAATAAAGCCAATCATCAAGTTCTGATTTGCCAGGAATGAGAGAAGATGGTGAATGAGAGTAAGCAGATGCTGGAAGACTTTCGACCTGCAACAAAATGGAGGGAGCAGTTCAAGTTTGAGGTTAAATCATTTATCCTTGAAGAAGTCTGGCTACGAGGAGGAGCAGTACTGAAAATCAGAGAAACAAAGAAGGCAATGGTGATGTTGCCAGGATAGCTTGCATTATGGCTTCAAGGATACTTGCAAGCCGCTATACAAATGTCCACTCAGGAGACTGGAAATAGCTGCAAATGAAGGGCAGAGAAGATTTCTTGCTGAAAGGAAAAAGAACAACAAAGGGTGGTTTGTTGTTTTAACAGAACTTTTTGGGAATGGAAAAAAAGCAGTTCATCTGTTTCCCTGAAGGAAGGAGAGTGAGTAAATGGCAATCACAAACTAAAGAATGTAATAAGCAGGAGAAGGCTGCAGATCAAGGAATAAAGGAGCAGGAAGAAGATGGGGTGGGGTGGAGACTCCAAAAGAAGGAAATCACTGACCTTCAAATATGAGTAGAGTGGGGTGACCACAAATGATGCAAAATGGCACTAAAGTAGAATGAGAACGCAGGCTCGTTTCAAAAAATATATCAAGTGCTATCAAACTTGCTTCTAATCCTGTTTTTCACAAGAAGATTAAACACATTGAGGTAGATTGTCACTTCATCCAAGACCTGTTTCTTGCTGGCTTTATCACTCTTCCACATGTAGCCTCAAACATGAAGATTGCTGACATCTTCACAAAGGCTATGACTAGATCTAGACATCTTTCTTGTTGGCAAATTGATACTTATGTCTGCACCTCAATCAATTTGAGGGGGAGCGTGGAGATTTTAGGACTTAATAACACTTTGTGTACTGTATGCTGTAGTCCCTGTTGTATCTTTATCTCTTTATTCTTTATTTCTTTCTCTTCAGCCTTGTAAGGACATTCTTGTAATTGTACATATATTGATCAATAAATAAATATAAGAGAGACTCTTTGGGGTGGGAGTCTATTCATTCTAGACACTCTTAATTCTGTTTTGTGCTCTCTTACTGTTACAACTAGAAAGGTTGTCAGGCACATGAGTCAATTCATGAATATGTATATGTTAAAATTTTTATATTTTATATAAAATAAATATATTTGCATATACATATATATAGAGCATAAAATATATATAATACTGAGTATATATAATTTATTATAAATAATACTTAATACATAATATAATATTACTATAATATAATATAAAACATTATGTTTACTATATTGCAGGCTGGCCTGAGCCCCAGCCAGGCCTGAAGTACTGGGCCCAAGCCCAGCCCAGAATTTTGTGAGCTTGGTGTGGAACCAGCCAGGCCCAGACCTGTGCACAAAAACCTGGGCCCGGGCCCAGAAATTTTTAGGCTGGGCCAGTCCAGGACAAGAATGTCACCCCTAACCCATAGACAGCCACAGTAATGTCAATTCAAAAAACAGATTCACAAACACCAATCAAATTTCTGATTGACACAGCATGGCAATTCTAAGTCACTCCAAAGTTGAAGGAGTATTCAAAATTTGGGAAAGAAATTCTGTTAGCTCTTTACTCTAGACCAGTTAGGTATGGTGATTCAACAAGGACAGAAATTTGAGCAGTATTACAAGGAATAAGGATGTCAAAATCTCTAAACTTCAGAAATATTCTGGTTTAAGGAGATACAATTTTTTTTTTTTTTTTGAAAAAAATGTAAGGTAACTATTATTGAAGAAGAAACAGCATACAAATTACAAAGGGCCTTTCCACTAAAGCCCAAAACCAAGAGTACAAAGAAAATTAGATCTCCCCAGCCAGCAGCTGGGCTCCTAAAGTCCTTGGTTGAAGTCCTTTCACAGCAGCATTCCAGGATATTAGCTTTCCAAACGTATAGGAAAAAAGTTGATCCACTTCACTACGTTTGTTTTGGAAAATTCTGTTATTCCTTTCGGCCCAAATAGTACTTAATACCGCAGCTGGGATGAAAGACCATATACTCTTTGTGATCTTGGACTGTCCCTTAAGCTCCCAACACCACAAAAGATCACACACAATCGCTGGCATGACCCAGTGGAGCTGCCAAAGAGACAAGAAATGGCTCCAGATTGCATAAGACACAGAGCAGTGCAGGAAAAAGGTGGTTATTCTCCTCTTCCACTTGATTACAGAGCACACAATACAGGTTCTGGAGCTGGATTCCTCTCCTCACCAGATTCTTTTTTGGTGAGATTTGTTTAAAGCCACAGCCCAGAGTAGAGCATTTAGCTTTGAAGGGACTACCTGGTTCCAGACTTTCTCTGCAGGAAACTCAGCTTGAGGGCCAGTTGCTAATTTTCTAGCAAAGGAACTAACAGAGAAAACTCCATCACTACTCCAACTCCAGTTCCATGTATCCTCCTCCAGTAAATCCAGATTGTGATTTGACAACAGCTCCAATAGATTAGAAACCAATTCTATTTCCCAGTCCTGAAAATGTCTCCTGAAAGAAGGGCACCAAATCTGTAAATTGTCTTGAACCTCACAGCAGTTAGCCACCAGGACCTCTTGATTCACTGAAATCTGAAAAATCTGAGGGAGTAACTCTGCTAAAGGCAAGTTTCTGCGCCATATATCTTCCCAGAAACTTACCCTTTGTCCATTTCCCAATTTCACCAAAAGGCTCCTACTTATCAGAGGGAATATCTCCATGATTTTCTTCCAAATAGAGCATCCCAATGAGGTAACAGAAGTGGTTGTCACCCAGTCACCCCTATCAGTGTTGTATTTGGCTGCAATCAAGCTTCTCCACCAGCTATCTCTCTCTTTGCCAAATCTCCAGATCCACTTCCCCAGGAGAGCTTTATTAAAGACTCTCATTTTCCTGACCCCTAGGCCACCCTTTTGTTTAGGGGCACAAACCTGGCTACTTCCTGTCTCTTTTCCCAATGCCAAAGATACAAATTGTGGTTGTGTGATGGATAAGCAACTGTGCAGGATCATGGAAATATCGACATATTTTAAGGGAAACCAAAATACTGGCTCATATTTGAGAACACTCTTTGGATGGACATCAATATCAGCCAATACCATGGCTTTTGGTTTGACAAAACAAGGGGAACAGAAATCAGATGCATCAGCGCTTAGTCCCCCAGGATAAGAACTTGTAAGCAGTTAAAATTTTGAAATATAGAAAGCTAGCCAAGGAAGGTAGATTGTAAACAGTTACCTGTTTAGGATTAGGGGTGATACACACACTGCTATACACTACTATGGTTTGGCCACATGCAAAGAAGACAACCAACAGCACCCGTAAGAAGCAGCAATAAGTTGCAAGTTGAAGGGGCTAGAAGGGCTAGGGGTAGATCAAAAAGGACATGGGTCAAAGTAGTTAGAAATGATTTAAGTGCCCATAATTTAACAATGGATATGGCGTTAAACAGAACAGAATGGTGAAACAGGATTCATGTAGCCAACCCCATATAGTTGGGATAAGGCTTGAATGATGACAATGATGATGATGATGCACACTGCTGTACACTACTGGTTAAAAACAGATAATTTTCATGGGAGGTTATAATTTAATGGTTACAAGTTACAACACAATGTGGTTGCTAGGCAATGAGCTTTTGTATATCCATTTAATCATTTTATCTTTACATCTCAAGTTGTCAATTCTATAAATTGAGTCACATCCTTTTGTGACTGACCTACCTTATTTGTTTCCTTCTGAAAAGTGAGAACATCCCTTTACCATGGAACAATAGAGAACAAGAAGCCACAAGCCAGCCCTACCACAGCCAAGTATCAACCCTATCAACAAATAACTATATTCCCTACTTTCCATTTTTATCTCCAACTAGACATAGCCCACTTAATTATCAACAGACTCACTCAAAGATAGTGTTGCATAGATTCTCCTAAATGGATGGTGTAAACAGTTAGTCTACAACATCAATCCATCTTATGTGTCAAACTTAGTAAGGCAACATTTTTGTAGGTATATAATGTTAGGGTTAAAAAATATGAATTATTTTAATAGTATATATTTTTCCATAGATGTTCCACGAGTCCATTTTCGCATCCTGCCGAGTCAGACTCTTGAACGCGTGTCAAATTCCAACTCCCATGTTTGTGTCCATGCAACATTGCTCAAAGAGAAGTTCAAATGCAATATTGATTCATTTATTTGTACAAGGCATGAAAAAAGTTTATCAAAAGGGTTAGGAAGCAAAACTACAACTACTTCCTAAAATCTCCACCGTCAGACCAATCTCTTGAGATGATTCACAAATTTAAGGTGGATGGCTTAAGCATATGTCACTTCAATGAGTACCACAATATCTGAATATATATCACATCCAGAATGGTTTTCCATATTTTGTGTCGAAAAGTAGTCTATAAAATTGTATTTGGTGCAATGTGACATGGCAAAATGCTTATTTAAAAATGTCTTCTAAATCAAGTCAAGTATTAAAGATGAACAGGCTACAACTTAAGTGTTAAAAGTCCATAAATGTATTTATCCCAGGCATCTGTAAGTATCAAACATCATTCAAGTGGATTTAGTTTTGCTCACCACACTGTTTGCATCTCTCCCACCACAGAGCAGAAGAAGGCCATCAGAGCGTGCACTTGCTGTTGCATACCTGCTCAAGAATTAAAGGTATGGTGAGCTTGAGTTAGAATTTTATATATGAATATGGTAAAGAATATATAGTACAGAAAAGATAATGGCAAATAAAATAAAAATAGAATAATATACTACATAATAATAGAAAATTATATTGAATCTAAATAAAATAGAAATACAAGAAATACTATACAAACTAAAAAAGAATTAGCATTCATGAAATATATGTTAACAATAATAGATATCATTATTTCATTAAAAGAAAATTGGTAAAATCTCAGGCTGGTAAGTATGAGAATGCAGGTTCGAGTCTGAGAGAAGCCACCTTGCAAAAAAAATGCCATAAATTAGGAACCCATCCAGTCTACCCCTCCCAATACCACAAATAGGCAAATAGCTAGGACCAACATTGGGTGGTGGCCTTTATTCATTAATAGAATATAAATAGATTTAGATAAATATTAAAAGATATCAATCAATTTTAATGAATAGAATTGTAAATAAATAGAATGTATAAACAAATCAAGTCCTAGATGATGACGAAATAGGAACATGAATGTTTTGGTCATACCATTTCCAAAAGTTTGAAAAATGAAGCTAAAAGTACATTAATATCAATCATAAAAGCTCAAAGTAAATTAATGCATAACTAGCCATCAGCAACTGCAAAGAACATTTGAGTTGCCAATTGTATGCAAAGCAGCAGATGTTTTTTCTACAGCAACAGCCAAGACCACCAGATTATAAATGGCAGATCAATTGTATGCAAAGCAGCAAATGTTTTTTCTACAGCAACAGCCAAGAGATGGAAGATAGCACTATCGCCAAACATAGATGCATTTCATTACTCCCACTCAATAAGGAAGATACTGCACTTATCAAACACCTTTCTACAAGAATAACAGGAAATGTTTATGAACCATACCAATTCAATTGCATTAGTCTAATCTGCAAGGCTAAAAGGACAATCATTTTATCAACTCATTTATTCACCTTTATTTTCCACTTAAGATTCAGAAGCACTTGGTTAGGATGCTAGTGTTAAATAGCTGACTAGAAGGATAGGATCAACTAGATAAAGAATCGATGCCATGCACCCATGGAAAAGGGATCAGCTGTTGTGGAAGTGTATGCTCCTCTTTTTTTTCTCTTTTTTTTTCTTTTTTTGATTGCTGGACTCCTTTCTGTTTTGCTGAGAATTTTAGCAGACAAAAATTCCAATCTCTTCCCAGGCATCAGGATGCTTACATAAGATCACTATAAGGATAGCCTGTTAGATCTATATTGTAACCTAATCAGAAGCTTTCCAGTGCATAGTACTGCAAGACATAGTTTATCACAGCAAGGATTGACTATTATTCTCTATCGTCTCTCACCCTGACCCAAACAACATTATGCACAAAAATGGCGGGCATTTTCTTGGAGTGTTTCAAAACCAGGAAAGCTTTAAAAATGTTTTTATGTATTATTACCCAGTAACCATGCCACAAAAAGGGCCTTGGCACAATGGTTGGGTTGCTCCATTGCGACCTGGGTGACCAGAGTTCAAATCTTGGAAACAGTCTCTCTGTATGTGCAGAGGTAAGGCTGCATACATCTATCCCTCCCCAGACCCCACATTGGCAGGCCTTTTGAAATGGGGTGCCCTTAACCATGCCACCAAAAAACTAGGCCTTTTGATAGAAAGTGGTCCACATGAAGATCAATAAATTGAATCACAAGTCAAAAAAATTTCTGAATCGCAATTCAATATTTATGACTCAGGTTCAAGCATGTCTCTGCTCTGAAACCATGAGCTTTGCATTACAAATGGACAGTTACTTTATGAACTTGTCTCACTCAATTGAAAAGAAGGTCCCTTGAGGTTGGATGTGGGGAGAAAAATAAGTTCCATCAAAAATGATCTTCTTCATGTGGATGGCCCTTAAAGGCAGGATTTTAACAATAGATGTGCTGAGGTCTAAGGGAATGGTGCTTGTGAATTATTGATGTCTCTGTGGTGTGCCAGAAGAGAATATTCAGCATATTTTAATTCATTGCAGATTCAGATATGCAATTTGGACTCATGTGCTAAAGCTGTTTGGTGTTAATTGGATTGAACCTCCAGATGTTGGAATTTTAGCATCTTCATGGCAGATGTAAGGCCTTAGTAAGAGGTGAAACAACTAATCATCTTTTCATACATTGCAAGTACACTTTTTAAGACATGGAATAATTTTATTCCTTTCTTTGTGGCTTCATAGGAATCCCTTGTTAATGAGTTGAGAAGTGTTGTTGAGGAGAGAGGAAATCTGTCTGAGGCAGAAGTCAAGAGTAGGGGTGATAATTTCTAGGACAGGCTTGGACCCAACAATTGATGCCTGACCAGGGCCCAGCCTGGCCCACAATATATTTATTTATTACATATATAGACTTTATATATGCATATATGTTTTATTTTGTATTTTATGAAATATTATATATAAATATTACAAATTGGCACATATAATATATTATATACTATTTTAAATTTATATAAATTATTTCTTTGAAGATGATAAAGTATTATATTTATATAAGTTATAACATTATCTTTTATACATATTTCATAATATATAATGCCAATACTTGTCTTGATTTTCATGCAGGTCATAAAAATTAAATCAGAGTTTTGTATCGAATAAGGTCAATACTTATATCTTTACCCTTACCCTTACTTGCACACGGGCTAGCACATGCCCTTACACTAGTTAAATATAGTATATCTAATGAGGTAGGCCCAAAGTTACCCTAATCTTTACTTGCACACGGGCTAGCACATGCCCTTACACCAGTTAAATATAGTATATCTATGACATAGGCCCAAAGTTTGGACTATAAGTGCATGGGCAAATAGACATTGGATGTCGGTATTATGTATCCATTAGGCTGTAACTTGGATTGGGCCAACTTGAGCATAATCCTAATAACAAAAATATACATTGGATTAGGTGGGGGTGAAAATTGAGTTACTTTTTTCTTGGAGCAAAAGGTAAGGTATTGTATTCATTCCACCAATCAGATTTACATATACAAGTCATATACAGAAAGGAACCATACATATGAGGTGTCAAATGCCTACACCATAGTCCCTAGGCATTCAAGACCCACAACCTAAATTGCAACATTCAATTAATGCTCCTATCCATTAAGCACCTAAACAAACAAGGAACTATAAAAAAGAAAAAAGAAAAAGAAAATGACTGATGAGGAATTCTACTGAACAGATCATGGGCTGACAACCATGAGTGAACTGTGGCCATAGCCCTCTGCACCACATCTTCCACCAACCTCGCCTTATTCTCAAAAACTCTATGCTTCCTCTACTTCCATATGACCCAGGTCACCACAAGAGGAATCATGCTCCATAAGATCCAGCCTGCTTGACTCAAACCTGCCAGATTCCAGGAAGTTCTCTCCTACACTCCTTGGATGACACCAGCTGTAGTTGACTAACTTGCAGAAATGATTGTATATGTACCTTACAAAAAACACAACTAACAAACAGGCAGCTGTCTCCCCATCCTTTTTTTTTTTTTTGATCAGCAGCTTTCTCCCCATCCTGACCACACAGCACACAGACTGGTGCCCCTGAAGACATCCCCCTCCTACTTAGGTCATCCCTTCTTAGACATTTGCCTAGTACAATAATCCAAGTCAGGAAGCCAACCTTGGTAGGGATGAATTAGGTGCAACTCAAACCCAATATATATTTTATTTATACATACACTTTTTATTGGTAAAAACCACTTCATTAATGATGAAAAGTGTAGTATTTACAATGATTGGTAAGAATCTCTTCAGGGCTGGTCCCCCACCCTCTATTCAAATTACAGATATTACAGATAGCTTTTATTTGTTACCCCACAATACATTTGCTCCCTACTCATTCCTTGTTTTGCAAGTGAATTTCCAATCTAGGTAGTAGGTGCTGAACCTATTGAGATAGAACCATCTCCCCTGCTTGATACTTGATTTTCCTCAAAGTATATTGATAGTGCCAAGTTCCTTGACCATCTGTAAGAGGATAGATTTTCATAAGTCCGTAGTACAGAATGGCTTATGAGAAACCCACATCTCCGCCCTAGGGTGAGTGCAGAATTCAGACATTTGCTCATGTAAAATTCGGTTATCTTTGGGAAACTTGGTTATTCAGACATTTCCAAAGAAAGGCAAAGTAGAAATCAAATAACTTAGTCTTGGACATGTGTACGCACAGAAAAGGACAGCCAAGTGTCCCTATAGTTAACCTCAGAATATGACATGGTGTAACCAACTTAGAAACATGATCCCAGGCACACAAGTCCTCTGGCAGAATGATAAAATAACTCGAAGGAAAAGACAAAAGCAGAGAATAACAATAAATAAAACTTTTCATCAATCAGAAAATTCCAGAACTTATAAAAAATAACCCAACAGAAAGGGACAATCATTAGACATTCTCAGACAAAGCATTAGTTTTCAGTTTTGGAGTTCAGAAAAGTAAGAGTATTCCTCAGGAGAGAAACCCTAAGTTTCCTCAGCTCTTACTACTCAAGCTCATTGCCATTCTCAGTACAAGTTCAAGGGAAATCTTGCAGCTTCTTCATTTCCATTCCCCAACCTTCAAACCGCGACGACCAAGCCTATCCCACCTTCCCACACCATCATTTCTCAACCAACACACTATTGTCTTATAATAACTTTCCACCACTAGGTTTCTCATATTCATCCCCTTGTCAATCCTAATTCCATAAAGAACTTCTAGCATCCCATATCTTATAGAATCCCCAAAATCAACAACACCAGAGTATAATACTACCATAGCTCTATGACATCTCTGAAGACTCCACCTATCCCAAATGCTCCTTTTTAAATGTTCTTCTGGTATTAAACAAAAAATAAAATTTTGTTAGTCAAAAAAAAAACCAAAGTCAGTGATGAGGGATCATCCCAAAACAAAAGAAAAGGAAAAAGTACAAGATTTTCATCTCCCAAGATCAAGATCTCAAACAGACCAAAATTACAAACAAAATCTTCATTTGTAATTCCCTCGAATTCTGGAAAAAGCAAAAGCCAATCCCTGAACCTCTTTCCACATTAAGAAGACAACTTGATCTCTGCATTTTGACTGGCCACCAAAAATTCTTCTGTTTCTTTCCTTCCAAATTTCCCAAGAAATAGCAAAAAGGGATGCAACTCCAAACTATCTTTGCGTTTCTACTTCCCCCTCAACACAGGCCATCTACCAAAGATTTCTTGAGGCAACCTTGGTCTCCATAAGTCAAGGACGAAATGGCTGAAGTAACATCGCCAAACATACTTTGAAAAACAACAGTCAATAAACAAATGCATCACACTCTGCTCTTCAGATAGGCAAAGGTAGCATCTCCCAGCCAACTGAATTCATATTCCTTTAACATGACCAGTAGACACACAAAATCCTCCACTCTAGGAGGTACAGGATTTCCCTGAGCCCTGATGACATTGGATTTCAACACCTGGTTCCTCGCCAAAGCATTATAAAAAGATGTAACTGAAGAAACATCACTCCTACTCTCTTTCCACCACCCCACATCACTTATGGATTGACAACCCCAAATAATATCGTCATTTGAGAAAGGTGTAAAGATGTCCAAGGTCTTTCTTGGATAAATGGTAAAAGGAATTGCATTACTATAAAGAGAGTGAGAAGCCCTCAATCTGTACAAAATGAGTAATTACAGACATCCACATAAAGTATAACTATATAGCATAATCCTTTACACTCAGATCAAAAAATGATGGAAGCCCACTTATTCTTGAATACATGATAACAAATTCAATGCCTGGGGCCACCTCACAAGTGTCCATTTAATCTTTCCAATGGTAGCTTTCAAAGAGGCTTCTTTACCATCAAAAATTCTGATAATCCTCTCCTTCCATACAACTCAGCAGATGGAAAAAGGCAAGGGATTACAAAGAACTTTCCCTTTGGCTGAAAAGATGTTCAAGGCTTTGGTTCATTGCACCACTTAACTAGTAAGCTTTCTTGCCAAATAGACCAAAGGATGACAGCTCAACAACACCTCCATATAATCTTCCCTCTTCTGTTTGTTTCTTCTTTTATAAAAAGTTACCTTTGCTTCAAAAAAAAATCTTCCCTCTTCTCCTTGGGGGGTTAAAAAATGAAGGCAAGAAAATATTTCTCACATCACCAGATGGGGACCAACCACAACAAAAAGGGCTAAAAACCAATTCCAAATACCAGAGATAAAGGAGCAGGAGGATAGGAGATTAGTATATAAAATGTTGCTTCCCCAATTGCATCACATAGAAAGCATTTGTGGGGCAAAAAATACCAATTGAGCCTCTTTCTCTACAAAGCTTATTGATCTTCATATGGTAGCTTCAAACAAAAAGAATTTTGGGGAAGATCAACCCAAGTAGTGTTTTAAAAGCGAAAGGCGCAAAAAAGGCGCAAGGCGAGGCGTGTGCCTTTTTGAGGCAAGGCGCACAATTAAAAAAAAGCTAAAAAATAAAAAAAAAGTAAAAAAATTCAAAAAAATATGCCAAAAATGCAAAAAAAAATATATAAAACATAATATTAATAGAAATATAAACTTAATTTTTAAAATAAATGTTTTGAAAAATCTATTATCTAAAATTAAAATACATAAACATAATATGTAAAGAATATTCAAATGAGAATTTAAAAATGAAATCAAACATATAAAACATTTTCAAGCATATAAAACCCACAATCTCTTTTTTTCTCAATTACACTACTTCAAGTAGCTAATGTGACAAATTGCATTCCTAATTCTAAGAGCCGCCTTTGTGCCATGCCCCTCGAGGCCACCGGAGCTTCAAGAACCCCCTATTTGGTAATGCTATCCATCCATTCATCCTAATAAAATATCTTCTTAAAAGCAATTAAAACTATAAAATCATTATTTTTTGTGTGAAAACTAAGAATTTAAGACCCTAAAATGGACTTGTTTGGGCTGACCTTGAGGGGTGTGGCACGGGGGTCCAGGGGCGGAGCCCCCGGCCCAGCCGCTAGACTCAAAAAAAGGAAAAAGGCATCAAATTTTCAAAAGGCGCATGCCTAGGCTAAGGCACAAGGCGCACCAAGCGCACGCCTGGGTGCACCGGGTATGCACCTTTTGAATGGGCTGCGCCTAGGACTTGGGCGAGGCGCCTACCCTAAAATGCACCTCGCCTATGCGCCTAGGTGTGCCTGAGACGCGCCTTTTAAATCACTGAACCCAAGGCTAATGGATTTTTAAGGGGAAAGTCAGAGAAGATGAGAGAATTGAGACCAATCGGTTCCAAAAATGAAGCACAAGTGAATAAACACGAGAGGTTAAGGGTCCAAACTCTAGAATCAAGCTGAGAAGCATCCAAGAAAACTCCCTTCAAACTATTTAGAATGGTAATAATTTGTTCATATCTGAATCCCATAAACCACTCCTGAGAAAAAATCCCCAAGATAACCAACATCAGAGGAGGCCAAAAAAGAGTTAGGTTTAAGTTATGAGAACAGAAGGGGTAAACCAACGGGAGCTGATTTTTAAGGGTCTCTCTCCCCACCATAAGTCCTCCCAAAACAACACTTTGTTGCCCACAATAACATCATAGTGAATGTGCTGGAAAAAAAAAAAAAGCAAAACAGAGAAGATATAGATGAAATAGCTTTCTAGGGGGAGGCAGGGAGACATAACATAAGTGACTCTGTTTTCCATCCACAGAAACAGAAACAGTCAAGTCTATGCATGCATGTAGCCATGTACATACATATGGATGGATGGATGGATGAATGAATGTGTTTATATATGCATGTATGGATGGATATGGATGGATGGATGCATTTTTCCATCTATGTATGTATATGCATATGTATATGTATGTATGAATGCATGCATGAATGCAACTATTAGAATATCATGCAGGTTGTTTTAGTAAAGTATTAGTACTATATTATGTCCATGTATTATGTGCACATTCTCTATGTGATCTTAAGTGTCTGTTGATTTCTGAATTTGGTCACTAATGACCAACTAACCCTCACTTCTTATTTGGGCTAACTTGGCCTTGGAATTAGGGTCAAGATTGAGAAACGTTTAACCTTAATCAAACGCAAGATGGTTGATAGCCCCAATTGTCCTCCTAGTCCTTGTACCTAGAAACCAACAAAAAAAGAACATAGCTAAAAAAAAAAAAAAATACAGGCATCCTAGGGTACTCATTAAATAACCATTCCATAAATATGGACAATATTCAGATTAAACCACACAAATAGATATAGATTTGAGCATGGTAATTAAACAAAATGTTTGGTTGTAGCAAGGGAAGTGTGCTTCTTGTGAAGGAACAAATAAGAGAAATGTGACCCATTAATGGTGCTATATGCATCCCAAGTACTTTCTCCTTATTAACTAAAATGGGAAGTGAAAACTCAGGGAAATTTCCTAGCCTCAACTTATCAAACATTCACAAACATGTATGCACAAACGAAGAAATAAGGATACTGGTAACCTACTCCTTACAAAAAATTTGAAAAATGCTACAAGATAACCACTTCACATAGGACTCCCCTAAGAAAAAAACACAGATTTTGTATCAATTTCCAGTGAACAACATATCAATAGATATGATCACTCACTATCACAGCGAACACCAGGAAAACATCACATATATAAATTGTTCAAAACATATTGGTATAATTATATAATATTAATGTTTTTTTTTTATAGGTAACCAGTAGCTTATCTTAATTTACAACTTTAAGAATTTAAGTGACTTGGCATAATGTTAATGTTGCATGTGGACAGATATTGCAGGAAAAGTCAGAGGAAATAAACTTACATGCACGGAGGTGGACCTTCCCCTTCTGGTTCCAGTTTCCGCCACTCATAAGGCTTCGCAGCTGTGTCTAGGGCCCAAACATCAGCTAAAGGTCGTTTTCCTGTTTAACATGCACCAAACTTTTTAATATCTTTATATCTAAAATGACAACCCAATGTCCATTCAGTGTTTAGAGGGTAGTAAAAAATATCAGTGAAAAGAATGAAGTGGCTTACCATCATTTCCACCAATCGCCAGGAGAAACCTTTGCCCAACAAGAGCCATAACATGTCCATAACGTGGCCCAGGGCCAGGGCCTTGGACGACAACTCTATAAAAAAACGAATTTCACTGTAACAAATAAAATCTACCTCAAATTATAAGAAATATGCAATCGGTTCTATATAAAAACCTGTGCCATCTAGGTCGTTGCTGTGTAAGGTCTAGAACATGAAGATCCTCTGCAGACAGACCAGCTGGACCAATGCCACCCTGAGCCAAATCATAGTTAGTAAAGAAGGAAAAGATGAGTAATGACTACATATAGGAATAAATGATTTTCAATTAAACTAACCAATAATATATGTAACAATACGTATCTAGCTTCACACATCACACCAACCTGAATTACTACCATTGTACCCACAGCAGTTGCTACATGTGCCGCCCTTGGTGAGGGTGGTTCTCCAAGAGGAGTAAGCCTGCAAAGAAAGTCGTTAAGAAACATGATACAGAGCCACATTACAATCATTTAAGACATGTGAATCATCCACAACGATTTGCAAGGTAATAATAAAAAAGAATCCCCATTGCAAAATTTACCTAGACCATTTGTTCGAGATAACATCATAACAGTGAACATCAGCAGTAGCACCGGCTAGTCCTGCAATTCAAGAATCCCATGGTCACAAAAGGACTTGGAAACAATGTTATTTTTCTAACACGAACTTCAGTTTTCTCAGAAAATTGAGTGTGGGTAAGAAGAGATTTGTAGGTGGATGGAATTGAATTACATTGAAACTGAATTCAGACTTAAAAGTGAAATTGCTCAATCAAGATAAGATTAGGGTTCTATTACATAAATCAAAGAGGAGCCATAGCAAACCAAAATTCAGGACAAAAAATAATAATTGTAATAACTATAACAATGATAAGGCATAATGGTTCAATGAACATACGGATGCCAGCACTTCCAGCAGAAGACGGAGGTCCAGAAGCTGCAGCGTTGCCTTCCAGAGCAGTGGCACCACCGAATAAGATAAGCCGAGGTCCGATGTATCCAGGTGTCCCTTCTTCCCCAACGGCAGCAATTGCGGTCAACGTGTGACCGCACCTAGACCCTGGCCCGTCTTCCTTCTTCTCAATGATCGCCTCGACAACCGAGTACGTTGGAGCAGGCCTCGGCCCGGCAACCGAAGCTTGCTGCACCTGAGGCGACTGCGGCTGGGGCTGGGGCTGAGACTGCTGCTGCTGCTGCACCTGAGACTGCTGCGTCTGCGCAAGTGGAGTCACAGGAGCCGCAGACTCCTCGGGCCCACCCAGCTGTTCTCCGTGTCTGCTGCCATCCATAGAAGAGATCGCTCCAGGGTCGTGATTCTGCCCATGATCATGATCGGTCTCTGGCACCATCGACGAATCAACCTCCATCCTTTCCCGCCTTCGATTCTGCTATCTTCCCCGTTCCAGAGATCGGTGTTACGATTCTGCGAGATTAGCATTTCTTCTTTGCCCCATCCACATATCGAATCACCGCAGAATTCAACCCCACCTTCCCCGATTCACGCCCGAGGTCATCAACAAGAGCAATGAAACCCTCTATTGGATCACCGATTCGTCCAGAACAAATTGAAAACCCGACAATTCAGAATCCGACGACCTCCGGGGAAAAATCAAATTTAGGTCCTCTCTCTCTCTCTCTCTCTCTCTCTCTCTCTCTCTCTCTCTCTCTCTCCTTTCGATTCCTCGCAGCGGTCGAAAGAAATAAAAATCGGGTGTGGGTGGGGGAGGAAGGAGGAGAAAATCACGAAGACAGCAAACGAATGCCCATCTCTCCTCCACTTTTCTTTTCTCTCTTTCTCTCTCTTTCTCTCTCCTCCCTTACCTTAATCATCCGGTGGCGATATGTACGGCACATAACTCCGACGAATCCGTGGAACGCCGTCAGAAGGGCGACGGCGGAAAAAAAAATTTTGGTTTACCGTTTACCGGCTAAACCAGTACATCGGGTTCCATTAATAACCATGATTATCAGATTCCGTACTTCAAATGGGATCTTTCGCAAATATGGAAGTGAGGGAACACATTATACATCTGTCGCTGCCAGTTATCATAGGAATCACGTATCATCGATCACAGGTGATCATTCTCTCCTTCTCCCAACTCCCCATGTACTAGGCATGCAGCAAAGCAGATGGAAAGCCCCCTTGTGGGTCCCAATCAAAAAAATTTGTGGGGACAAAGTGATGCAATGTCATCCGTTTGATCTAAGTAAACCCAGCTGGGCGGCATGGACCATATGACTCATGATACACGTCCACATCTCGTAGTTAAATTCCTCGTAATTCTATTTTTTATTTATCCATTTTAAGCTGCTTTCATTGATTTGATTGATTTCTTAACATGGTTTACCCAAACCCAAGCGGGACCCACATGCATCAATCATGGTCGTTTATGTTCTGAATCCAAGTTGCCTAGTGGGCGGGACCCACAAAAGAATGAACCCAATCAGGACGGTTGATTGAAAGTGCCCCTAGGTAGCCTTCATGTGAGAGTGCCTCATGGAATCATTTTCCACCAAATAGGTTGACGTGTGTCAACGGACAGGATGCAGTTGTCCTTTTGTCCATGCTTTTTTACTTCGTCACTCCGAGGCGAGTCGCTGCTTTGACTTTTCATTAGGCGAGGCAGGAGTCAGGAGACGAACAGACTGCCGTTTGTTTGTTCGAATTTCGAAGATGGAGTGTGAACTGAGTTTGGCTCGGTCTCTTAACTCGGCCAATCTGAGCCATCCATTCCACCGCTACAATTAGACAGCGAAGCCTTTTGATTTAGCACATGTTGAATCCTTCAATCCACGTCAGCCCTTTGGCCCACCTTATACTGATTGGTTTCCTGAGTGGTGTTTAGACACCCAGGGTTAATTTGTGTTATTTATTACATGGAAAGTGTTTGGGGCTGAAATTTGCGCATAAATGTAGGGTGGAGAATGGTCCTCGTGGTTGTACGTGTAGAGGTGCCTATTAATGTTTTAAAATCCGGCCGGGAGGCTGAATCGTTTTTGCCTCCGGGTCGTGGCTCACTGGTTCAACCATCCATTTTCCAAATTGAATGGAACACTATGCCATGTGCCATGTATATATATATATATATATAATTGCAATTTAAGGTTAAAAACGGATTTTTAACAAAAAAAAATTATCCAAGATAAATAAATCACTCAATCAAACATTTCCACAAAAGTTATCCAACATAAAAAAGAAAAAAAGATCACTCAATCAAACACTAGAGCACAAAGATATGACTTCTAGAAGTTCCATACACGTTTTAATGTGCAACCATTAAAAGGGTTTTGTAAATTCTAGACCCTACTTGTCTCTCTAAACCTCTCAACTCGTATCCACCCCAAAACCCGTAGCGGGTTGGATTTTGAGAATCCAAACCCTCTCTGCATTCAAGGGTAGAGATGGGTTGGGTTTAAAACCTGCATATAATTTCTTATTATTTCTTGTTAGGTATAAGCAATAAATAAGTAAAATAACACAAATAAACATCAAGATTTCTAATCATTTGATTAAAAATGTAAAAAATACATAAACCATTAATTATCTTTCACACAAAATTCAAAATAAAGTTTATATGTTTTCCAATAATATGCGGGTTAGGGAGGGTCAGGTTTAGCATAATACCGTACCCTACCCATACCCATACCCATATGGATTATAGAATCACAAAACCCATCATTTAAGGAAAAAAAAACTCCCCGTTGGGGAGGGTAGGGGGGTAGGGTAGAAATTGCCATCCCTAGTCGAATTGATCAATGGCCAATCGCTTGGGTCAAACGATTTTTTACTAGGTCAACAATTTTGACCAATCCTTGGGTTTTAATAGGATCTTATAAAAATTATGAACGAGTAACGATTTGTGAACAGTTCAACCGACTAGGTCAACAGCAAGTTGAAAACACTTTATGGCAATTGAATGCATTGATTTGGAAGTTGGAACACAACCAGACCTCTTAAGAATCCATTCAAAAAGGTGTGGGTCTAACCTCGAAGTAGCAAACAAGGATGAGATGATCCAAGTTTGGTCTAGCCTGGCCACAAAACCTAAATGACAAGCTTATCCCATAAGTTGGGTGGGCTAGATTTAGGTCTTGTACCTAAAAGCTAGTGGCTAGGCTAAAACAATTTAGGGTCATTTACTATAAAAACACCCATGTAGTTTCATGGATCCCCTAAAACCTATCCTATAGTTTGCATTTTACTAAAACACACCCTATAGTTTGCAACCAATTTACTTAATCAACCTTCCATGAAATGGAAGAGAAAATTGGCAATTTTGACCTTAACATCACTTCAAGCAAATTTAATCTATATAAGCAAAAATGAAAATGTCATTCTTGTCCCTAGTAAAACATGGGCAACAGCTCTACTCGGTAAAATTTGTTGTTTGTTTGAAGAAGGAAGACAAATCATTGCTACCAAAGAACTTTGGATACCATTGTTCTGTCTTTTTCATTATACTAAAGCCAAACATCTTTTGATACATAAGAAAATCAAACCTTCTCTCTTTCTAGAATCTTGATATGAAGCTTTAGGGGTACTTTTAGAATAAAAAGGCATAGGCTCATGCCTTTAAACAATTTTCACCTTGTTTATATGACCACATTACCATTTTTAGATAGAAATACAAAGTATATTAGGGATGTTTTAATAAAGTGTAAACTATAGGATAGGTTTTAGTTAATTTGTGAAACTACAATGGGTGTTTTAGTAAATGGCCCAACAATTTATGATAAATATTAGGCAAGACTTATGGTGCATCCAATGCAGTAAGCAGCATGTGGAATAATGATATCTTTAATTCATGTCTTATTAAACATCAAACTATGCCATATTAAATGTAAAAGTACACTATCAATTAGGGGTGAGCAAAACAAACCGAAAAACTGAACCAACCAAAAAAATCGACTGAAATCAAACCGAAAAATCGGTTAATCAAATCGGTCTGTTCGGTTTCGGTTTGGCATTTTTGGAAAATCGAAGGTATCAGTTCGATTTTGGTTAACCAATATAAAAACCAGCGGTTAACCAAATCGACCGGTATATACATATATTTCTATATACTTTATATATATTTATGTATATTGTTTATTTTTTATATATTATAAAGTAATAAAGATGCATTATATATATTTATAATGTATTATATATTATTATCATTTAAAATATAATACTTCATATATTTATCATTTTTTATTATATATTTATATATATTTTTATAATATTAATTGTAAAAAAAACCAAAAAAATCGACAAACCGAACCCACGGTTAACTGAACCAGTCAGCCGGTTAATCGACTAGTTTCGATTCAATTCTGGTTACTGGTTTTCTATAAACCGGTACCACCAGTTTGGTTCAAAAAAATGCCCCAATCGAACCGTGAACACCCCTACTATCAAATGCGAATCAATGAAATGTAAGACGTCTTGAACATGATTGGTTAAGATCTAGATTTTATGTGCAATCAAATGTCATTGAGTGCACCATGGTTGAACTCCAAATATTATTTTATGAGGTGCAATTAGAGATGTTAATGGATCAACTTCGGTATAAGGCACATGTTTGTCTTCACCCTAACCTATCCCTCCGATGTTTATACCTAAACTCAATGTAACCTGATTTAATAACATGTAGTTTCTAAACCCACCTCAACTCCCTGTATGGTTCAATCCACAACAAATCCATTCAACTCTAAATCTTTTAATTGTATTTTTTATTAAAAGAAAGAGAATTGAAAACCCAAAGTTTAAGTTAGAATTTGCTTCATGAATTCCAAGGTGCCAGTTTCAAACAAATATAAAAGAAAGGGTTCCACTAGGGTGTTAAGATACAATGGTAAGAAAAACCTCAGCTTATCACTTCATGGAAGCTTAGGATCTGTTTGGTTCACAGTTGAAATTATAATCGAAATCAGAATCAAGATCCCTCCAAATTGGAATTGGAATGGTTTATTCTCATAGTTTATTATTTTGTTCGGTTTTGATCGAAATGGGAATGAGAAATGGAATCAGTTGGAATAAGATTTCATTCCCAAAGGAGGGAGAGGGAATGATCATTCCCTTCTATTGGGAAATGCCATTTTATCAGGAATTGAAATAAGATTCTGATTATGTCCAACCAAACAGTTGGTTCATTCCAATTTCAATTCCAAACCTCTATTCCCATGAACCAAACAAGCCCTTATATCATAAAGTAGGAAGCATCGCCAATTCATGGTGACCGGATTCAGTTGTGAGGATTGAATCTGGATTACAATTCACGATGGTGATATGTGGCTCACAGTTATTTTCATATCATATGAAAAAAAAAAATCGCAACACATTAGCATTTGCCAAAAGAAATCCTAAACTTGATTAAGGGGTTGAAAATTACAAGAATACACTCTACATATGTAGGGGTATCATGACTTGACAGGCCAGAATAGCAAACTTCAACCGACCTGATTCAGGTTTAAGCAACTAAATTCTAACCTGACCCCCTACACCTATATTTGGCATCTCTATATGTAATTAGGGCAGGTATTAAATTTTATAGAATGCAAAAACTTTGTATTTTATATTATTTTGTATGTATTTGTACTTCACATATTTGTATTTGTACTCATTCTAAACATACAAAATAATACAAAATACAAGGTTTTGCGCTTTACATATTTGTATTTGTACTGGCTCCATTTGGAAGGAGTACAAATATAAATATGTACAATACAAATATAAGGTTGTACAATATCATATATAAGGTTTAGGGGTTCGACTATGATATGGAAAGATACGATATCTGAAATTTTTTGACCAATCAACCGGT